AGAAACTTGGGCTGCTTTAGAGAAAGTTGCCAGCATTTTAAGAATAACCCATTATGTTCTTCCCTCCCCAAATAGAATTTGGGCTCACAGAAGTAGCTCATAGAAAGAAAGAAACATTTCCCAGTCAGGTTACCTAGCAACTCTTCCCCCCATGCATTCTCTTACTGGACTAGCATTCAGCCCTATCTAAACACCTGCACTCTCCGTCTGACCTTGCCAAACTTGCCAAGCATCCTGCACTCCCCGCTTGCCTTCAAGGACTCACACACAGGGACATTCCGAGGTTTGGTTATCAGGCAAGCGGCCCCTCCCTGCCTGCCAAGCTTCCTGCTTGGCAACCCTATATAAGGCCTTTGTAAAAAATAATAATTTACAGCTTGATCAGAAACCTGTCTTGCTGTGTCTTCCTTTTGTCCCCTGACCTTTTCTTTACAGGTTCTCTGGTGCTGTGAAACATCGGGGTGAGAGCTCCCATTGTGCCCCTAGGGCCAGGGCAGGAATCAACCCTGGCAATCAATGGGGTGACAGATGTCACAGCCAGATCGCACTCACATCCCAGATTCCTCCTAATGAACACATCTTAACTTATTGCTTCGCTAACAAAATCTAAATAACAATCTGATCCAGAAAAATAAACACTTTACTGTGTACCTAATCATAGCTATAAATAAAAACTATTACAAAATGGAGACCTGCACTTTACAGTTTGTATCAGCTCTGGCCACCTGTGGAAGGCATGGGTGGTGCCCCAGTGGGAGTGGGAAAGTGTAAGTGCAAATATGTGTTTGTATGATGGTGTGTGTTTGTGTGTGTGTGTGTGTGTGTGTGTGTGTGTGTGTGTTCATGAGTGTCTTTGTGAGTGTGTATGTATGAATGTTTTGAGACTATCTGTAGACATTCATGCTTTGAGTCCCCAGGCTCTTCCTAGTCCCACTATTTTCAGCATCAATCACTAATTACTTTGCAAAGTCTGTAGTTTGGGGAGTCTATCCATTTCTAGAAAGAACTCACCAGAGAGAAATTAGACAGTGGCCATGCTAGGTTTAGGGTTTAGGGCATGAAGTTCTGTTCTGTGTTTACTCTAGGTTTTCAATGACCTTAGACAAGTCATCTTGTTTTTTTTTTTTTATCACAGATTCTCCTCCTGTTGAATATTCATACATAGCATGTTAATTGTTTTAATTTAGCCATGCCATTGTGAACATACTGTATTATGCATCATAATTGTGCATGACTATATTTATGAGCTAAATAAATGAATGGAAAAAAAGAATATTCATACACAACTTATTCCTTTGATTAAGTATCAAACATGCAAAAAATGAAAATTCTCTGGAAATTTAGGCATCTTACAGAAGTGTGATAGAATTTTGTGCTTGGAGGGGATGTTAGAAATAGAATTGTGTTCATGTAAAACAATTTCTAGATGTTAAAAATGCATCACATATACTGATGAGATTGTATGCACATTGCCAAACATCAAAAGTAAATCCTGCAGATGTTCAATCTTGCAACATGTCAATCACTCAGAGACTAATAACATTAGCACTTAATTTTAAATCTCAGCAATGATTCTCTGAACAATTTAATGACCTTGCAATGACTATCTTTCCTATATAATTTCATAAATGTTACATTATTGATTTGGTGACATGTTAATCATGTGCATTCTTTTTGCTGTCCAAATATCCAAGTTTGCTTTCTGTAAAAGTAGATTGGGAAAGCCTTAGAGGCCTCAACCTTATACAAAAAACTACAGGCAACTGAGTAAAGCTAGGAGTGGAATAGGTGGTCCTGACCAGGGAAGAGCACATTAATTGGTGTGCAGTTGCCAAACAGTTAGCCCTGGAAATATACATAGAAATGATGGGGGAAGTACTTCTGTGTATGTTTATCTTATTGATTATTGAATAAAATACTGTTTGGCCAATGAGTCAGCAAGTTAGATGGGACTAGGAGTCACAGAGGATTCTGGGAAATGTAGTAGATAAGTGGTGATCCAGGCAGGAAGTGACATAGCAAGGAGACTCATATTTAAGCAAAGGAAACAGGAAGGGTTCCCCTTTTCCCCTTCCTCCTCCAGTGGCGCCATGTGAGCCACCAGCAAGAGGGTGCCAGCGAAAGGCATCCTCTATAAAATAAGTATATTAAAATATATAGATTTATGATAATTAAGACTGAGCTAGCAGATGAGAAGTCCTAGTCATTAGCCAAGCATCTTTGAACCTTCTGTGCCTTAACTGGGGCCCTAACTTGGGCGGGTGGCTGGCGTAAAGCACACACATGGCAGTGGGGCTCGGAAGCTTTTGGCAGAAAGATTTATCGTAATATAGAAATACCATATTATGGACTCAACAGGCTATATTTAGTAATATATGCCTATATACAAATACACATACACATGCAAAAACTGTTGATTAAAAAAAGAAAGCACAAATTTGAAGAAGAGAGGGGAGGGGTATACAGAATGGATTGGAGGGAAGAAAGGGAAGGGGGAGATGTTGTAATTAATTAATCTTAAATGTTGTAATTAATGCAATCTCAGAAAGAAACAAAATTAAAAAGTGGATCTTTTAATGATAATATTTATTTAACAGGACATTTTAGTCCAGCAAGTTCTTAGGAATTAGATTTTAAAAACATTTGGGGCTAAGTGTGACCCTTTTTTTGAAAACATCCTGTCTTGGATTTGAATGTTTTTAGGTAAATTTGGCAAGGAGCTTACTATAGTAGCCCCTGCTCTGCTGCCCACATCTGTATAGGGTATGAAGTAATTGAGGCAGATTGTTTCTATGGTGAACAATAACTAGGATCTTGACTCATATAAACAAGCTTGAAAACATTCATTTTTTTTAAAAAATGACCACACACAAATCCTTGTTTTTATTAATAACAAAGTTTATTACATCAACCAAAGAATGAAGCCAATTTGCATTTAAACCAATTTGTAAGCAACATAGACTTCTTAAAATGAATCTTACACAGGGCAGTGAGAGAAACTATATTTGATCAAATGAAAAGTGTTTGGATGTAGCCAATACTCCATGAGATAGAAAAGCAGGCATGCTTACAGGACTTAAAGTAAGGAACAGCAAGAGACTGGGGCTCTGCTCTTTTTACTGATAGCTCTCTTCCCCAGCAGATGACATTTTTTCATTCCTACACCAGCAAAGAGATTTAGTATTAAATTACTTATCATTTTGCAGTTTGGGATCAACTCAACACTTCAGTGGAGTGTGTTGAGGCATTTCATCAAGATTCATTTCTTTTGTTCTCCAAAGATTGAAACTAAAACCACCTTCCAGGGTGCTTGCATTCCCACTGCAGTTAAAACCTGAACAGATAGGCAGCATCTCTCTTCTATTTACCTGTTTGACTGGACCTGTAGAAACACAGAAAGTAGAATGGAAAGAGAAAAGCAAAGGTCTTCCTTCAGTGTCTCCTAGGGATTGGCTCCAGGAACACAACACAGAGATACCTAAATTTCTGAACTGGAAGTCTTTTGTAAGAACTGGTGTATATTTGCTTATAGCTACTGAAGTCTAAATGTTTTGTCATATTGAGACTATTTCTAATACCTCATCAATTAAAACAATACAAAATGCTATGCAAATAATTGTTACACTGTATTATTTAGGAAATATTGAGAAAGTGTCTATATAGTCACTACAGATACAAGTGTATTTGGGATGTTGTTGTTCAGTGGCTGAATCTATGGATTCACACATGGCATTCAGATACCAGTCTATATATAAGCACAAAGTGAAACTCCTGTCAAATCATATTCTAGACTTTTGTCCTGGCAAAGGAGCTTCTCAGCGACGTAGACACTGGATCATTCTCTAATTAAAGAAAAACAAAATACAGAGACAATGGTTATTATCTGATAAAATATTATGGACTGATACAAATGAAATTTATATATAGACTATAGCAATCACATTGGGAAAGCACATCAGAATTTTTGCAGAATTAAGGCAAGAATTTAAATATCTAGAGTCCAAACTCAATGTTCTTCAATTGATGCTGAAGTGCCCATTTTATATTGAAAAGGGCATAGTTATTTATCATTCCATCCCTCCAAAGAACAAAGGTTTTTGTTTGATTGTTTTGTTCTGTTTTTTTTTTTTTTTTTTTTTTTTTTTTTTTTTTTTTTTTTACTTTTATACATACTCTACTTCTGATCTGGGCATGATTTTCAGAATTCTCTGCAAAGTGGATTCACATATCATAGTTTACTGAAGTACTCAACACTGCTTAGTAAATAGAAAAGGAATCTTCTTTTTTTTTTTTTGACCTTGTTCCTTTCCTGGAGAAGTGATACTGAATGGTGCTGGAGTTGGTTATTTTATTTAATCTCCATGCAGTTTTAATTCCTGGAAATGTCTGAGAAAGGGTCTCCTGAGTCTCAGCTTTCTGATACCTGCTGTTGTTAACGGTCTTTATATACAGAGACTACTTAACACCCAGACAGAAACCTAATCCCAAGAGTCAAGCCATTGGTTTTCTTACTCCAAGTCACACTGATCTGAAGTTCATCCCAAAACAATACCTGGATTGTATTCCACCAAGACATTTTAAAAGGGAAAAAACTGTCAACTCTTACATTCAGTTCTTAAAGGTTATTGATTTCTGCCTACCTTGCAAACAATACCTATACTCTCTAAAGGAGAATGAATTGTGCTTGTCAATCAAGTCTTGTTAGAAATACACTTTAGTTCTTTTCATACTGACATGCTAACTATAGAAGTTACAACAATCTTAGCAGAAGTCTGGGGAACTCTAATCTCTTGAATGTCAGAGTAACCCATTTTCTCATCCATGTGTGACCAACTACATAGCCTTCATTTTGTGTTTAATGCATTTTTTTCACTACAAAATTAAGACATTTAAAAAGTGTGGTGAACTTTATTTTTAGTGTGTTATTGAACCCAGTGGGATACCTTTTTGAAATGAATGAAGAGTGAGAAGACACTTGGGGAACACAAACAAGATAGTACTCACATGATATGGTTAGATGCTTCTTCTTGGCAGTCAGGTTGGGATTTCAGCCTACATGTCAGGGGCTCACAGCAGAGATTGGTACATTCCTAAAAGAACAAACAAAACAATCCCTGAATTTAGTACAAGACAACATTGAAAGAAGATTTCACTTTTTAAATTAGACTACTTTATTAATTATTTGAGAATTTCTTTTTAATAATTTGAAGGTAATTTCTTTCTATTATTTTTAAGTAGTTCAAATTAGAAACAAGCTTGCTTCACATGTCAATCCCTTCTTCCTCTCCCTCCCCTGCCCAACCCCCCATATCATCCCCCCTCTGCATCCCAGGGAGGGTAAGGCCCTCAATGGGGGTTCTCCAAAGTCTGTCATATCATATTTAGTCCTGCTATACCCTCCCAGATCCACCTGGTTCCTTTCCATTCCTCTTTGTTTTTGAGACATAGTCTCTCTATGTAGCTCTATGTAGCCCGGACTGTCCTAGAACTTCCTTTGGAGACCAGACTGGCCTTGAACTCACAGATCTGCCTGCCTTTGCCTGGATTTCTGAGTGTTGCCACCAGGCCTGGATTTCTTTTAATAGTCCATATATCCCTAAGCAAGGGGCTATCCACTGCAGTGCAATAAAATGTTATGGGGTAGCCAATTGCTTTCTGATTGGACACAGGAGGAAACTCATATCTGGCACTGGAAACCTGGTCAAGAATCCATGGCTGAGGAGCTTACAGGACCCAATGTTAAAACTTCTAGCTGGACATAATCAAACTTGTCTCTAAATTCATATTTCTAAACTGCAAATTAGTGCAACTCTCAGGCTTTATCAGAGAAGTTTCCCAGTTTAAACTTATTTCCTTTGTTGCACCAATTCCAGTGATTATAACCAATAAAATGAAGGACAGAGCAAAACTTATCATTATTTATGGGAAATTTACCAAGTACAATGAGACATAGAAAATATATAAAGATATAATAACTAAAAAGCATAAACTATATTTTCATTGTGCATGGGATATAATTCCATACATAGAGTAAATTGGGGTCAACTCTTACAAACACTTGATAAGTGACTAGGATAATAGTAAAATGACATTAAATGTAGCATCAATGAATCATAACCTGCATCAAAAAGAAGGCAGACTGCACAAAAGGAAATGTGAAAATACTTCCAAATAAGTAATCAGATTCTGACACAGCTACATGCAGAGTCTGATACACATTTCAAGCTTCTGAATAGATGCCCTGATGTACAGAAATCTAAGATGCGGTCATGACTAAATCCCAAGTTTCCACATGGATTCATCAGTCATTAGCCTGAAAGTAAGGAATTTTCCAGTGTCTACAAGGAATGTGGCATGCTGTGGATAATTGTTCCTTCTTTACATTTGGCTTTGTGAAATCATGTCATAAACAGATGCTGGTGGTGTGTGTGTGTGTGTGTGTGTGTGTGTGTGTGTGTATGTGTGTGCTTTTCATAGGTTAGTTAACTGAAGTCAAAAGCAAAGCACCAAGCATTAACAAATCTATGTCTCACTCTGATATCAAGTTCATCTCCGGAAAGAATTTCTACAGGAACACTGCAAAAAAATAAAGGGGTCCAGAGAGGAGACTCAGCCTCTAAGAGCACTTGTCAAACAATCTTGAGGACAAGGGTTCAGATTCCAGCACAGGTGTTTGCCAGTTTAAAACCCCCTATGTCTCCAGTGATAAGAGGTTTGACTTCCTCTCTTGGGTCTCCATGTTATATGCACACACACACACACACACACACACACACACACACACATCTTTGAAAGAAGAAAATGGAAAATTAAACTGTATAACTTTTACCCCAGAATACTGCTTAAAAATCTTAATAAATGCAACTTTAAAACCTCATGTATTTTCATACCTCAGGAGAGCCACAGTCACATCCTTCCCCCGTTTCCAGAACTTGGTTCCCACATGTTGGCTTTATTATGTTTTTAGGACTAGGGGCCAACAGCATACACCTGGCATTTCTAGATGAAAAGAATCCTTGAAAGAGTGAGCGACTGGCAGTACTGAAATCCTTGGGGAATTTTGAACTACAATAGAAAAAAATAGAATGGAATTATATACACTATAGAAGTTTGTGGGTGATTAAGTAAATAGAGCAATCTAATGGATCTCTCTGTGGAACCCAGTTCAGTGAAAATTCCAAATATAGTCACTGTCCAGAACATCTCTATGCTGCCTATGGTGGGTGGTGAAGCATGTGTAATATCCTCATTGAATGTTTTCTCCTAGAGATCCAGAAGTGGAGAGGAAAGAATTTAAACTCTCATTATGATTGTCCTAGTTTCATTTCTCTGATAAAATATCCTGAGAAAAGGCAACTTAGGAGAAAAAGGAAAGTAAGAACAGCTAGTCATATCACATCCAGTCAAGAGCAAAGAAATGGATGCATGATGCTTGCTTGTGCTCAGCCCTGTTTCTCTACTTTTATACAGTTCAAGACACATTTACTAGGGAGTAGTACCACCTAAAGTCATCTTTGTCTGCCCACATCAATTTACTTACTTTAGACACCCCCCACAGACCCCTAAGTCAACACAAGGTGCAATATTTCATTGAGAATATCTTCCCAGATGATTCTAAATTGTGTCAACAAGAACTGAATACCCAAGTTAATATGGGTAGGCTGCATGCCCAGCAGTAGATGGCTAACCATCACAGGATTTCAAGGTTATCCAAAGTAACAAGAGAGATGAGGGTTACCATTGTTATCCTCTACTCATCTCACACTGAGGGCTGATCAGTAAGAGGTGGCAATCATGATCTAATTAAAAGAAATAAATGAAAGTTCCCACAATTCGTGGGCAAACTTCTAATTTGTGAGCATCTAGTAACAGAAGATGCTATGTCCATTTTTTTCTGTCCAAAGTCTTGAACAGAATTGGAATTATGAGATAATAGATGAATAAGTTAAAATAGACTGCTTGCTCGGTTGGTGATGGGAATGAAGATACATTTATCTTGGCTATTTTGGAATAAAATTATCATCTTAACCAGGATAGTGTTTTTAGGAAATAGGGTGCCAATTTAAATTAAAACAACCTGAAGTTAAAATAATGTAGTCTCCATAATAATAAATTCTATGATGGTATATTTAGAAATTTTAATTTCTAAATTAAATTTGGTAAAACATATGCATGGAGAACCTTCATGTTGAATTAATAGGATACCCAGCCTTTGTGAGAAGGTACCCCTACCACATATGCACAGTACATTTACTTAGGAACGGGGACTTTTTTTCCCTTTGGGATGATGTCATCTTACCTCAGGTACTGATTCATCACACAGCTGCCAGAGGGACACTTAGTACTATATATAACATCCTTCATACCAAGGGCATGGCCCAACTCATGAGACATCACTGCTACAAGAGACACATTGTTCTTTCTTTTAGCCTGGACAAATAGAAGCACCTGTTACTTCTTATCATATTCCATTTTTTCTCAGCCCTTGTCAATGAGTAATTGCTAATATGAATACTTGGGAGAGGAAGAACAGTGTGTCCTTAAGCTCATTTTCTGGCCATTGTTTTTTGCCCAGTGTATTTGAAATGATTGGCTCCTAAGAATACTCAGTGGTCAAGTTCAGTGAATACTGAGCTCAGTAAATGAGTGTTACATTGAGTGAATTCTCTATGGAAAGAGCTATTAGGTGCAGTGGTATGGACACACATCTGTAAAACTGTGGTTGAGATTTTTATGCCATTGTTAGCAATGGGCATGTGATACCTTACATCCACACTTTTCCTTGTCTGTCCTCTGACCTGCTGTACCAAAGGATTCATTTAGAGTTATTTGAGGCTGCAGAGGAACCCTTGTTTCCCTTTTTGTCTCAACATTGGGGTCCTTTAATACAAACTGAAGTACAAGGCCTTTGGCAAGGCTAACATTTCATAGTTCAAGGACTCTTCAGTGCAATGGTCCAAAATAGTTTCATTTCTACTTTGATTTATCAGTTCAGCTGGTGGTGATGGTGATTACTCTGGTGTAAGATATTCATAGAGATGGAATCACAGGATGTCTTAGTAGAAGCGTACGAACCTCAATAACAGACACTGAAGATGAAGTACACAAGGAATTCGAAGCTGCCATTCCTACACGCCCATGGAGGAAGTCAGATCCACTGTGTGAAAAGTAGAGAGTCCGCATCACAATCTGACTCTGGAAACCAGCAGCTTTTGGCAATGATATTATAGACCTCCCTGGTCTCCCTGGCCTTCTGTATATTAATGAGGTCCCAGCACAGCTTCCACCATATCACAGCCCCATAATTACAGGTGGTTATTTTGCATCCAAGAAGGTGTTTTATTGATCTTATAAGGACCTTCATGGGTCAATTGCCAATGGTAGTAAATGGTAATCAAGACACTTACAACTTGTTGGAGAGATATTACTGAGCAGAAATTCTTGTCAAGCAACTCTGAAGATAACCACCCAATCTGCCTTTGTATCCCTGCCCTGGCAAGAAGAAATTCACCTGAGAAGCTGGGCATGGTTATGAATCTTCCTTTTTCTCAGGTTAGAGTGATGCCATGTCACAAAGTTTTGGAACGTGGTACCAATCCTGGGTTCCACCTTTATCTTATCACTGTCAGACCAGATTTCCATATCCACCAAAGACACTTGAATATCTATGGTTTTATAAATCTGTGGAAAGAGCATTTTTTAATGAAAACACTCGGGATTAGTTTTAGCACTCTTAATGACCACAAGTGATAGATAAAGGGATGCAATAGATATCATGAATTTCCATCTTGAAAACAGAAGTTCTAGAAGACGCCCATGTTACTTTATATGATTTTCACTGATGAGCTTCTACCCTTAAGTAACTATTAGCCCCATGCAGTGTAAGTCACAAGGAAGTCCAAACACAGGTTTGGAAACACAATACATGACAAATGCCTTACCACATTGAGCAGATCCATCACTTCAAACACAAAGCTTTTTATCCGAGTCACATTCCCATTATACATCTTATACTGAAAAATACAAAATTAAAATAGAAAATTTAAGGGAGAAGGCTGATGGGTGCAGGATTAAATAGAATATGTACATAGTATAGCATAGTTAGCACCTGATCAATCTATTGACTACCTTATATTAGATTCTATTTGAACAAATTCTACTTCAAATATAAAGGTTTGGAGAAGATCAAAATTAGGTATTCATCATCATATCTTTCATCTTTCTCTTTGTTTGTTTGGCTTGGATTGGCATGAGGTAGACTCTCACTACACAGTCACAATGCCTTTAAACTTATTTTCCTCTTGCTTCATCTTTCCAATCTTGGACTATCGGGTTAGAACTGGGTTATCTTATTTGTCTTTAAGTTGAATGCATCAAATTAATAGTTTAAATATTTTTCATCCACTCAATATTAATTTAGGTTTGATTATAAGGCAACACAAACTCTAGCTTCTCTATATTTATACTTTTGTAAGTTGTGCATAAATTTGTGTCCGTAATTACATATTGCCTATTAAATTGACTTTTCTATTTTATGGTAAAATATTAAAACAATCTAATACTTCAGCAAAATATTTCTCTTTAAGTTTTAGTAAAATATTATTTAATTTTTATAGGTACTTTCTGGCTAGATTTTGTTGACTTGATACCATATAGATTCATTTAAGAAGAAGAACCTCAGTTGAAGGATAGCCTTGCTGAGACTGGACAGTAGGCATCTATGTAGAACATTTTCTTGATTTCTTATTGATGTAGGAAGGCCCAGTTCACTGTGGGCTGTCTTACCCCTAGACAGGTGGGCATGGCCTGTTTAAGAAATGTGGCTGAGAAAGCTAGGGAAGTAGCCAGAAGCTATGTTCCTGCATGTTCTCTACCTTAGGTCCTGTCTTGAGTTTCTGCCTTAGCTTCTCTAGACAATGAACTGTATAAGTTGTAGGCTAAATAAACCCTTTCCTCCCCAAGGTGCTTTTGGTCATTGTGTTTACCATAGCAACAAAAAGTAAACTAGAATGTAGGTGTTTGGTATTAAGTCTATTGCCATTATATAAATATTTGGTGAATGATTGATAATAAATGGCATGGGATGTGTGAAAACTGTTCTCAACAAAGCAGCCAAAGCAGCCAAAGCAGCCAAGAGATCTAGTTGAACAAAAATGCATTGCTAACTAAACAAGATTATAGCTTCCTTCACTTTTAAGTTGACCTGTAAGTTGAAAGAACTAAGAAAGGGATATCCATCTTTTGTACTCACAAAGGCATTATCCAGCACCAAGAAGAGATTAACGAATTTCTGTCCTTGGAAGACTTTCTGTTTTAAAAATAACAAGAGAACCTCATTAATAATCAGCTCTACTCACAATGATTCAGGTACTTACACTCTTTTCCTCCAAAATAAGTTTTAAAAGAAGTAAATAGAGACTTTGCATATATCAGTCATTTCTGAATATACCTGTGCACCTTATATCCTTGCTTAGACAGCTAAAATATATAGGCTGAAAGATACTATACTCACATTTGGACTTTTCAGTGACCTGGAAATTCGAAGATGGCTTCGTTTCCTGCTGGCATGCTTGTCACCAAGGTTGTTATTAGCTATGTCTGGTTCCCCTTGGCTGTATGGAAGGACAGCATGTTCTCCTTCATCTGTGCTTTGGAGAGGCTTTATATGATATCTTTGATCATGATGTGTGAAGTACCCTCTGTGGGATGTAAGATTGTGTTTTAGGATGACCTTACATGTCCATTCATACATCCCACTCAGAATGGAGGGCTAACTCTCCCTCCATTCCAGTTTCACACATAGATTTTTCAGTCATAGACCTTGCGAATGACACATATTCATTCAAGTTACAATCAGTATATGCCCAATATTGAAAGGAAGACCGTGCCATCAGACACTGGGGTCAACAATTAATAACAGGACCTCATGAAACAGAAACACCTCTGTAGAACAAAGGACACTATCATTCAGACAAAGTGGAAGGTTGCAAAATAGGACAATATTTTTACCAATTACACATCCAATAGAGGGCCAATATCCAAAATATATGAAAAAGTAAAAAATAGGTATCAAAGAAAAACAATTTAATAATAGGATAAATATCTAAACAGAGAAGTCACAAAACACAAAAATCAAATGACTGAGAAACACTTAAATATTCAACATCCTTAGCCATCAGGGAAATGAAAACAAAACTGCTTTGAGATTCCATTTTATACCTGCCAGAATGGCTAAGATCAATAAAGTGAATGACAGTTCATTCTGGCAGGCACTATAGACATAAGTGTGGCAGTTCCCCACAAGGATGGGAATCAATCTACTTTAAGATCCAGCTATACCACTTTTGGACATATATCCAAAGGATGCTTCATCTTACCACAAGACATTTTCTCAACCATGTTTATTGCTGCTCTATTCACAATAGCCAGAAATTGGAAACAACTTAGATGTCCCCCAAAGATGAATAGATTTTTTAAAATGTGTTATGTTTACACAATGGAATAGTACAAAACTGCTAAAAAAATGACATCATGAAATTTGCAGGTAAATAGATGGAACTAGGAAAAGAACTCATCCTGAGTGAGGTATCCCATACACAGAAAGACAAATATGGTAAGTATTCAGTTATATGTGGATATTAGCTATTGAGTCAATGATAACCAAGCTACAACCCATAGAACCATAGAGGTTAGATTAAAATACTAGGGGGAAAAGATCTTTCTAGGTAGGATAGATTGTTATGGATGGATGACAGAGACTGAAATAAGAAATTCATCAGGAAGACAGGAGAGAGTAGAGGACAGGAGAGAGATTATGGGAAGAGATAGCTAAAATTAAGGGGCATTTGAAGGGTAGTATGAAAACTTAGTGCAGTAAAATATGTACATATATGAAGGTGATCTAGAAGAAATCACCAAATATTTGAGGAGACAAAGCCATAAGTGGTCATCTCTTGTCACCAAATGAAGCCTCCCAGGGATTAGGTCACATCTAATTTAATTATTGGGCAAAAGGGTCGCATGGGAGCCCTCAAATAATCCAGGCTGTTGCCAATATAGATGTTTCTCCACAACTGTCAGCAAGGCCTCATTGCTGAAGACAACACTAGATAACTCATTGAATATGGGGAAGTGGAGCTGGTGCCTACATAGAGCTTTCACCCCTATGAACTATCATTTTTGATTCAGAAAGATACTCTGAATGCTACCAAAAGAGAAATGTAAACACCAACACAGCCACAAACCCTTTGATCTACAATGGTGTCCTGCCTGCAAGATAAAATAGTGCGATGGTGGCACAAAGCTTGTGGAAGTAACCAGCCAATATCTGATTAGACTGAAGGTCACTCCATAAGATACCCAACACTGCAAGGGTGACCAAGACCCTGAGACTAGATAGCTCAGGGACCTAGGGCAAAAACAAATGCTACTGTTCTTAAAAAAATGTAGGTATAAAATGAATCTTAATGACATTCTGCTATACTCATACATCTGTTTCTTGCTCAGCCATCATCAGAGAAACTTCCTCTTGAATCAAATGGGAACAAATACAGAGATCCACAGCCATACATTATACAGAGAGTGAGAGACCCTGCAACACTCAGCATTGATTGGGATGTCTTAGTCGAATTCTTCCCTCCCCTCAGGGCTTAAGGAACCCTGAGGAAGATGAGGCAGAAAGAATATCAAAATCACAAGGGAAGATGGAGGAACCAGTTTAAAAAGGCCTTCTGAATCAACAGGACTGAGGCATATGTCAGCTCACAAAGACTGGGGTCGCATGCACAGGGCCTGCTCAGGTCTGTCCCAATAGAGTTCTAGAGCTAAAAGGAGAAGTAGACATATGTCACCTCTAACTCAGAAGCCATCTCCTTTGATTGCCACTTGCAAATGAAAATTTAGCTTTCTCTAAGGGAGTCTCACTGGGAAAACAAAATACTCTTAAATAGGCTGCAGGCCCAACTACTTGCCAGCAGAAAAGGAATTCAACAGTATCATTGGAGGTTCTTGTCTCATAATGCCATTATTTTACCCATTTTTCTCTTTTTACCTTATATGTCCTTTGCATATATAGTTACGGTTTCCAGTTTATTGGTTTTTACAGGATTCCCGAGTGTGAGAATAAGTGGTTGTCTGTCTATCTGTTTCTGTGTCTCTTCTTTTGCTCTTTTCCTTCTGCTTTTTATTTGTTTTATCCTATTCCTATGTATTGGTTTTTGTTTTATCATAGTAGTGTAGTGTAGTATAGAATAGTATAGTATAGTATAGTATAGTATAGTATAGTATAGTATAGTATAGTATAGTATAGTTATTCCTTAGAAAGCCTATTTGTTTTCTAGTGAGAGACAGAAAGGAGGTAGAAATGGATGGTTAGAGATGGTGGAAGAACTGGAAGGAGTAAAGTAAGGGGAAGCTGTAATCAGGATATATTATTCAAGAAAAAACTATTTTTAATAAATGTAAAAAAAGAAAAGAAATAAAAAGGAAGTCTATGTCATTTACCAGAGTAGGCTCAAGAATTACTAAATGAGGCAATTCCATAGAATTTTGAGTTAACACCATGAGTCTATTAAATATTCTACAATAGTTTGCTTATTGGTTTATAAAATATTCCTTGGCAGTTTCTATGAATAGAGTGAAGAATGGGGTAAGTGACTATTTATACATCTGGAACCCTAGAAAGAACAACAAAAGTTTCATTTAGAACAGCAGAGTAACAAATTGGGACTAAGAATAGCTTAAAGACTCTTTTTCTATGACTACAAATAAAAAATTACTTTGTATGTTCACATATTATAAAGCCAATGTAAAAGCCAATAAAAAACTATGTCTATGGAGGCATTTTTATAATATAGAAAAAGTGATGTCATGTTAAATATGAACCATGCTAGACTAACGATTACATGTTTTATTTCATGTTTTAATCATATGAGATACATAAAACTACACACATGACATGTTAAGTAAATATGACCAATAGATTCCAAGAGTGAGGTAGATGAACTTGGTAATGAACACAGATGTCACTGAGGTTCAGCAGTCAGCTTTGACAGAACTGGGACTGACTTCTAGAATAGTGACTGTACTGCGATAGTTTCTTGAGTTTAACTACACAATTCAGTGGTTTATGGATTAGTGATGAACAGAAACAATCCAAATAGTAAGAAGAAAATAGAAGACATGAGAAATACTTAAGACTGTGTGACAAAAAGTCTCTTAGTATTTAATATGTCCTATGACAGTTCTCACCTCAACCCATCACATGTACTTATACTGGCAAGAGATTCTCTTGCATTCAGGATGTGGCCTTCATAGTAGCAGGGTTTCTGTAGCAGAAAATATATTGAGCTTTATACATGTAGATATTTCACATACACACACAAATAAACAAATAAATAAATATTTTAAAATTACTTTGGTTAAGTATCTGGGGATGTCTAATTGAGTGTGTAGGTGTATTAGCATTGTGTGTATGAGTGTTACTGTGTGTTCACCACTTTTATCTTTAAAAAGTTGTCTCCATGACCTTGGATAATCACTTCTCTTCCAAGTCACTTGATGTATTTAAAAGTTTCCCTCAGACCAATATACTTGACAAGGTAAATGGCAGATCCCATGATGGATTCAGAGCCTACCACATCCTGAGAACGTCTGGTTGCTTCTCCTTTGGGTGAGTCAGATGTTTCAGTGTAGTCTGGCCCCAGAAGATGCCTGTAGAGAGTAGAAAACTGCATATGTCATTCACGATACCAGCAAATACTGACTTATCTGATATCACCTTCTGTACTATGGGAATAATTGTGTATACAGTGACACTGAGTTGACTTTGGACCATTGATCTTTTTCCAACATTGGGACTTTCCTACAAACATAAGTCAAAGCATGTAGTTAACCCTGAAGGGGGAAATTCACTCACTTTTCACTTGCAGATTTATCTTCAAACATGAGTGGGTGGAGCCATGATGGGATTCTTTGGAGCAAGGATACAGTCATTGGAGGGTGCTGAGTCATGGTTGTGGGTAAGAGACCAACAAAGGAGGCTTACTGACTGCTAGAGAACTTGTGCTGCCCCATCCTTCTTCCTCTAGAATCTATCCCTAGAATGTGTACCCTGATTCAGGCTTCGAGATAATTCTTGTGTATGTGTGGATTGGGGGGCATGGTATCTGTATATGTGTGGTTTTGTGCAATTCCTTATGTTGCAGCATACATGTGGAGAACAGAGGACAAACTCATGTGTGAGTCCACATCTCCCACCTTGTTTGAGACAGGGTTTCATCTTTATCTCTTGTCTCACTGTGTAAGACAGGCCAGTTTCTGGAAGTTCTACTGTTTCTGTCTCCTATTGGGCAAAAGAGGCCCTGTGAACATTTATGGGAGATTGTCCTGGGTGCCTTCACTTACATGTGAAGAAAAAGCCTGGAAGTGTACCCATGACACCGTTCCTGTTTGGAATTTTAAGGTGTGTAAGAGTATGTGAAATTAGCTGAGCAGGAAACATGCTTGCTTCTGACTCTGGGTAACATATGACCAGTTCATTTCAGGTCCTGGCATTGAAATTCCCTGCAGTTCTGAACTGTAGCCTGGAACTATAAGCTAAAGCAACCCCTCTCTCTCCTAATGTTATTTTGTCAAAGTATTTTATCCCAGCCACAGAAATGAAACAACAGCCAAGAAGTATCCCAATATTCTGTTAACACAATCAGTGGCTGGGCTTTCAGGAAGTTAATTGTCCTTACTTGCTTCTCCTTAGGTGAAAGATAATTTCTTCTCCATTTAGTATGATCTGATATTGAACTTCGGGCTCATATCTTTCCTGAAAATATTTAATGATGTAGTTATAAGCACATAGTTCTCAGCCAAAATAAAATTATAGCTATTACAGTATGCCAGTTATGTACACTATGCATTTCAATTGTAGAAGTACAGAAGTTTAAAGTATTTCTTTTACATCTTATCTTTCTTATATCTAAAATAAATGTAATTTTCACATTAATATAATCACCTGACAATCCTAAAAATAATCATCTGACAATCACACACCTGTTAATAGAATATATAAATTAATTATATGTATTTTATGTATATAATTATAATTGTATTATATACTTATATAATAATCATTTATTACCTACATATATTAATTAACATCAATAATGATTATTGCTAATAAATATTACAGAATGAAGGAATATTGGAAATATGGTTAGAATACCTTTCTACATTGTAGAAAAGTGTAGTCACTGGAGAATGGGTGAGTGAAGAGAAGGCAGGAGTGTGAAAAGGCTGAAAGGAAAGAAAGCCTGCCTCTAGAACTATCTGCCTTGCTTGTGATCCCTTTTTTCTCCCATGGATTTGAGGACATGTCCAAGAAGTTTTACCTTTAGCATCAAGCCAGGCAGTTGCTTTTCTGATGTTAAATTATTACTAAGTCCTGAGAAGTCAAGTGCTATCTCTCCACCAGAGTTAAGATGTGACTCCTGTTTAGGCCAAAGCACCTGTGGCTGCCCCACCCCTCTCACAAATACTGATAGCCCTACCTCTATCCTCCTCAGAGTGCTGTCTGTGAAGCTCTAGCTAATAGACTTCCAGGCATCTGGATTCCCTGCCTGAGGAAGTAAGCTCATAGCCTGAGACACTTTAAAGGGCTCCCACTGGCCAATCATCCTGTTTCCCAGCCTCCTTCCTTGCTCTGTGGGAATCAAAGAACTTGGCTGCAGACTCCTGTTATTGAAACCCTAACTTATCCAGAAACCTGTAAGTGGGAACCCCCAAACTTTCCTCTTGAGCTTGCTTCTATTTCAGAGACCTGTAACGCTGTCTATCTTTGGTGCTGGGACACCTAGCCATGCTGTTGTCTGCCAATTTGTTTATCTGTGGGTTTAATGATGCTTCTAATAAACTTCATACCCCAATAATCTTTCTGCATCCCCCTTGAGCACTCCATCCTAGACTTTTCCAAAGCAGAGCTCATAGATGGACTGCAAAATGAAATGCTGGATGTTGACTGTGATATCACACTAGCCCTGAAAGCCCTTCATTTTTGACTTCAGATGACGATGAAACATGGCTTACCTCTTTGCCATATCTCTCTGTCTGGTTGTTCTCAGTTCCTCTTCTGTGGGAGATGGGTAGTTTTTTAGGATGAACTATTTCATGAGGTTTTAACTCGAGGGTAGACTTTGTATCTGTCACTAGAGAAAGCCAGAAAACGTTGGTAAGAAAAACTCACAGTATTTTGATTTGTTTGGCTGATTGTTTTGTCCTATGGACACAAATTAACCATTCAGAACAGATTGCTCCCCCCTTTAACTTTAATGACAAAGGATTGTTTCCTGTCTCTCTAACTTCTAGAATGACATAGAAAACTGTTCACCTCCTTGTTGAGAGGCAGTTCGTCTTGGATCAAGAACACTGATTGATAAACCCAAACTGTCTACAGTAATTAAGTGCATTCCTTTGCAGTCTTCTTCAAATTTCAATTCCTCTGACCATACTCTCCAAAAATGAAGATTTCCACATGCAAGCATTACTTTACTCTTAGGAGGGACCCTGTTCCCAGTGATTTCATGCCTCTGTTGACAATAAGCTAAGATGATCTTTCTTTACAGTTTTACCCTCAAAACTGTATATTTCACAGGACATAAAGCTCTTACTAACCTCTCTCAGAGAAAATTTAAAGCAACAGAAAGCACATGGGGGAATTTTTATAATTAAAGCTTCTTCTTAATGTACTTTAAGTTGTGTCAGACAGTTTCATTTGTTTACAATTGATAAGGAAATAAATGATTCAGAGTCCAAATATGTGGCTTGCTGTCCCAGCTAAAAGGCTTAATGAAAGTCACTTTGCCTTCCTATCCTTTGTTGTATACATAGACTAGTATAAAAATTACACATATAGATTTGTGGAACTCTGCAGCACTGTTGCTGGAAAATGAAGGTACATCTTTTCTGTTTTTTTTTATGTTTTGGAATTTTGCAGTTGTTCACATGGGTCATATAATTGAATGCTGGTGTTTTCACAGCTTTGAGACAGGTTCTTACTTATGGCAATCAGAGTCCTTTAAAGGTGTGACACTTAACTAAATTACTGTGCAAACTACAGCCGTAACTGCCACCACAGAGTTCACAAGGACTAAGAGGACTTAAAAAGATTTCATTAGCATGTTTGTCCATATGACACAATGATTGTCAGTCATTCTACTTTACCGTCTCTTTGGGAACCTTACCAGGACTTAACAACGTAACCGCAGTCTGCCAGCATTTGACTGTTTAACATGATCATCATGCCACCCTTAGCAAGATAGCCAGTGATGGCATTGGTGCCCTGAGCTTACACATGGTGTAGTAAGGGAGCAAGCAGATAATGGTTATCAAGTTGTTGGTTAATCTCTCACTAATCATCTTCAAAGGATGAAAGAATTACCTTTCCAGGACTTTTCTATTGACTATGCCCTAGTATTGAGAATCCTTCCCTACTACTGAGAAATTTCCCAAGGTACCAATTCACAAATAGCCTTGGCTAATGACTATATTAATACAATTGCACTTACTAACATAAATGTAAATAGAAAATTAATCAAACTTTGTTACATCTATTTTGAAAAAAGGTCACATCATATGTAAACATGATTTTTATTTAGTGAGGCATATGAAATTTGAAAAGGTATATAGTAAGCTTTTGAATAAATATTGCACATATGATCTAAAAAATACCATCACCCATACTTATGTATGTATAAACTCTTATGAATTCATGTAAGTATATAGTTCACTTCAGTGGAGAACGACTCAAGAAACATAATGTGTAAACTGTACTGACCTTTGCATTATGAGTAAAAAGGTCATTTTTTTCTCATGGGTATGCTCATCAAATGATATGATCTTTTTCTATAAGATGTCTATACTTACCTTGGGTTTGAATGATGAGCCACAGGACAGAAAGCAGGACCCAAGACATGCTGGCTTCTGTGGGTAGCTGAGAGGTTCCAGGCAGTAGACAGTGGCCAGTTTTATCTCCCTCTAGTTCTCTTTAGAAGTTGAAAGGAACATAGTCTCAAATATTACTTGTGAGGTTAGGGGATGTTTCCTAATTGGGTTGTAGACTGACCAATGAACTACAGCCTGAAAATCTGGAGGATGCTCCTCCTTTGAGAGCAATGTTTACATCTGTTGGGAGGCTCATTAAGGGCTCACCCACAGCTGGACAGCTGCTTGCCTTGAGTTCCACCCTGATGGGAATTTGAAGGGGCCCAAACCCTTAATTTACACATACATTTACAAATGTATGAAACATCACTGTTGTGTCCATATTTTAAGAAATTGGCACAGAAATCATGCCATCTTTTAATTTTTTCTTTTAATATATATTGCCTGTATGTATTTCTGTACACCATACAAATGTGTGGTTCCCACTGAGGCCAAAAGAGGGTATTAGTCTCCTGGAACTGGTGTTACAGATGGATGTGAGTTGTTATGTGGGTGTTGGGAGTCATGGACCTTATGTCCTCTGCAAGAGCAGCCAGTGCTGTCAACCACCAAGCTATCTCCCCAGACCCAAGTGTGTCATCTTAAAAACATAGCACCAAGCAAAATCTTGCAAACTTAATATGAATCACGCTGTTTTTAAATGTAAAAGGAAATTCTGGTAATATCAGCTACAAAGTTTCTTTCAAAGTTCATTTGCAGTCACACAAACACATAGGCATACACACACACACACACACACACACACACACACACACACACACACACACACGCGCGCACACACACACACATGCACACACACACACACACACACACACACACACACACACACACACACACGAGCGCGCGCACAGAACTGCAAAGAAGTCTACATATGTAAATAGTCTCAACAGCGTCAGCTTTAACCCAACCACATGCATAAGAATCTATTTAAAGTATATAATGAACTCTGCTTCAGCCAAAATAATATGTCTTTCTGATTACTCAAATTTTGTATTTTCATTCCTTAGATGAAAGCATAGAGAAGGATACTAGTTAATCAGCTGATGTCCAATAGCAGAAAATGAGCTCTGATGACATCTGCACAGTTCACTTTGATGTGACTTTTATGCAGTAATATAAAGAAGGGACTATTAAAAGAAGGCCAATCTCATCACATAAAGGCTTTAAGGCATTTGATATTTTTTGTAGAGCATTATAATATAAGAATCTTGAGTTGGGGGGGTGGTGGCACACACCTTTAATCCCAGGCAGAGGCAGGCAGAACTTTGTAAGTTCAAGGCCAGTCTGGTCTACGGAACGAGTTCCAGAACAGTCAGGAGAAAGCCTGTCTCGAAAAAAATTAAACAAACAAACAAAAAAGAATCTTTATGATATTCAATAGTAAGATGATACTTGGAGGACTTTGAATATTGCCTTGTGCACATGCTACATGTAGTTATGTTCATTGCTTTGATTCTTAGGATTAATTTCTAAAAGATGGCAATGCATAGTTTAAAAGGACAGATCAATTGGAAGTTATTGTTCCAAAATTACTCAGTGACCTTAGGCAGTTGGCCCCACACTAAATTTCCACTCAGAAGATTTCCCCAGCTTGCAAAGCTATGACTTCTAACTGTTGACCATACCCTGTGTTGTCATACTTGAATCTGTCTGTCCTTGTACATCTTCTTCCTCCACTTGAACTGATGGTGTGAAATCCCATATTTCCTTTTACTGGCTCAAAAGATAAGCATTCCACTCTACCCTTTCCCAGGAAGGGAGGGAGAGGGAGAAGGGACTTACATGTGAAACAAGCTTGTTCCATAACTGGAACTAATAAATAAAAAAATAGTAATAATGTATAATAATTTGTCTTTTAGCATCAAATATTAAGAAGTTCCTGGAATGTCTTAAGTTTCCTATCTTGCATGTTATTCTCCAGTGGTTTAGTATCAAAGAAGCTGAGAGCAAGTAAGAAGGTACAGAGGGGAAGTTGGATGGAGGGAAAGGAAAGGAGAAAATAATGTAAATGTATTTTAATTTCAGAAGTGAAAAAATTAAAATACAAAAGTCACAAAGATACTTTAAGAAAGAAAAAGGAAAAGCAAAGATGTAAGTCTGAGAAGTATTTAGCTCATAAAACTGGCACACTTGCTAAGGGACACAGAGGTCTGGAATGAGTTCTAGCAATCAAGTTTGACAACTGCATGAGTTTTATAGGTGGCAACTTCCCATTTGGTGCATTGATAAGAGTTATAGTCTTTCAACCCATCAAAGACAAAAGATACATCTCTTGGTGTGCCCTTGAGAAGCACAGAATTTTGAAGACAATTGTTTGACAACATTCACTGGACAGACACTCCATGGAAGGACTTTGCAAACAACTCTTTGGGACCCTGTTGGTGTTTACTAGATAACTGAATATCAGTCTATAAATTAAAACTGTGGAAATAACAGTGAACAAATTGTTTACAAAATGCATCTGGAGAGGATAAAATGGCATATGTACAAACATTTTGTTGAATCTGATTTTCAAGAATCAACTAAACATAGACCTTAACTTATGACCATAAAATTGAGGAATTTTAATCAAACATCCTGGTTACAGAGAATTTTGTTCCCATAAAGCTTGCAACATTTTTAGATATTTCATAATAAAGTGTTTTGGGTGGTTTGGATTTGATGTTTAAATATTGTCTAACTAGAGATTAAAACAGAATTTGCACATTCACAAAATTATAGTAATTCCTTATATATTTATAGACTTTAACATATTTTTAAGTTTTTATTTTAGCAATAATTATGGAGTGTAAATTCAAAGACTATCATCCTTATTGTATATCTTACTTAAAGAAATTAAGAGATATACTCCAGTTTTCATGGACTATCTTAAATATATTCCTTTTAAGTCATTAAGGTGGGAAAATGGTAATTGATATCAAAACCAAAGTATTGCAAATATTTGATTGTTGACAATTTTAATAACGGTTTCTATTGTCTTTAGGATGAAATAAATACCAATACTATTTGAGTGGGCATGAATTAGTGGGATAACTGACAAGTTTAAGGTGGAAAGTTATGCCTTTTCTCTGAAGTAACTGCCCAGGAATTTATTTCCTTTTGACTGGTGTTAGGATAAAGACCCATTGCCTCAGCTGACCCAACAGGACATTGGAGTTACTTGATGAATTTTTCCAAGCTGAACTTGTCCAAACCTCTGGAAATCCATAAGAAAGCGAGTTGTGTCAATGACAGTCAAAGCAAGTCACTGTACAGCCACATGCAAAGACTACTGTAACCAACATGAAAATGCATGTGTATCTGAAGGATAGTGATTTCCTTTTCTTTAGACATAGTCAGAAGTGTAACAGTTAGATAACACAGTAGGCCTAATTTTAGGTTTGCCTCTAGAGTTTTCTAGCTCAACAAAAAATGAGCATACTATTGTTCCCAAAGGCTTACTAATTTACATCCCCATCAGCCAGCAGAAAGCTCCTGTCTCCACATTCTCCAGCTTTTGTTATTTTAGTAGTAATAACTATTCTAAATGGGGCAAGATGACATATCAGTATAAACAGTCTTGGTTTTATTTCCCTGTGGCTATCTATACTGAACATTGTTGCCTATTGGCCACTTGCCTTACTTCTTTTGAGAAGAATCTATTTGTATTGCTTGCTCTTTTGGTAAATTTAAGCCCTTTTTATAAAATAATATCAATCAGATAAGTAGTGGCCAAGTCATAAATTGTTTCTTCATTCTGCTGATTGTTTTCTCCACTGTGTAGATCTTGAGATTGATGTAAATCTAGTTGGCTGTGTTTCCTGTGCTGTTGAAGTCATATTTTTTAAAAAGAAACCATTGATTATTCCAGTGTCTCAGGTATTTTACCTACATTTCCTTCTAGGTGTTTTATTGGGGTGTTATATTTAGGTCTCTTTTTCATTGCAGTATATCATAGTACAGGATGAGAGGTAGGGGCCAAATACTAATATTCTGCAAATGAATAATTTTCCCAGCACCATTTACTGCGGTATCATCTTTACTGTGGTTTAGTTCCATTTTTACTTTTTATGAGTCAGTTTACTATCGAAATGTGGGTTTGTTTCTTGGGTCTCTATGCTGTTCCAATGATCTGAGTGTTCTTCTGAACCCAATACCTTGCTTTGTGGTTATATGGCTCTGTGGTGTGTTTTGAAATCATGTGTTCTGATGTCTCCAATTCTGTTTCTTCATTTCCTTTGGCTTCTTTGGGGTTCTTTGTGTTTCTATGTACATTTTAGGTTCCTCACCACTATCACTACAGTCTGTGAAGAATGCCATTGACACTTTGATGGGAGAGCACACTGACTTTGTAAATTGTTTAGTAGTACAAATATTTGAACAAAATTGTATCATCCAACCCATGACTTTCTGTCTCTGTCTCTCTCTGTCTCTGTCTCTCTCTGTCTCTGTCTCTCTCTGTCTCTCTCTACCTCTCTCTCTCTCTGTCTCTCTCTCTCTCTCTCTCTCTCTCTCTCTCTCTCTCTCTCTCTGTGTGTGTGTGTATGTGTAGGGATGTTATTCCATTTTTGTTGTTTCAATGTATTTGATTTTTAAAGAAGATTTATTTCTTTTATATGCATATATGAAAGTTGCCTGAAAGTAAGTGTGTCACATTAGGATAGTTGCATGGAGTTCCAGAAAAGGGATGGTATTTAGCCACTTTGTGTTACTGGGATTGAAACACAAAAAGCAGAAAACACTTTTAACTGTTGAGCTATCTTTTTAGTCCCATCATTTCTATTTATAGCCTTCATTTCTTTTCCTTTCCTAATTTCTCTGGCTAAAGTTTTCCTATTATGGTGAGTAAGTGAGCTAAGAGCTGACATTCTTGTCTTATCCTGAGTGTTAAAGGAAATTGTTTTCCCCATTCAACATGATATTGGTGGTGGGTTTATCATGTATTTTCTATTATATTTATCGTATATAGGTTTCAGTATTTTGATGTACAATCCTTTGATACACAACTCATTCAAAATTTTAATTGTGAAGGGAATTTCATCTTAAGCATTTTCTATACCTATTTAGATAATACAGAGTTTTACCTTCATTTTTGCTTACATACTCTGCTATATTTATTTTGTGTATGTGCATTTTTTGGTATAAATCACACTTGGTCATAATGAGTATTCCTTTAAATGTGCTATGGGATTCAGTTTGTGAGTTTTCTGTTGGTGATTTTGAATCTGTTTCATTGGGATTGTTTATCTGTAGTTTGTTTTATCATTTTCTGGTTTGGCAGGAGTAGAGGAGTTATTTAGAAGTTTTATGGTGTGCTGGCCCTCCCTTTCTCTTCTGATCCTTTGCCTAGATTGGGTAGACTTTCTCTAGGGTTTGTTTTGTTTTGTTCTGTTTTGTTTCTCAATGATATTTCTAGGTTAATAGCTTCTTCAAATCCAGTCTGGGTAAACAGAAAATTCCCTGAAACTCACCACCCTATGATCCTTGCAGTTTGAGGTTCCAGGAGGTCAGCCTTCTGCACTTCATCTTTACAGTCTGACTTTTGTTTTGTAAATTTATCTGGGTGGGGTTTTAGTTGTGCCTTTATGGGAGTAAGATGATATAGGACATTTACTCCATCTATGTGATGAAGTTGTTCTTAAGGGACTTTTTTTCTATATTGCTTAAGAGGCACATTTACTAAGACTATTGATCAGCCCTTTGATATCTGAAGATCCATTCTCAAATGCCCCAATCCCTATGCTACTATTCTTTCCTTTCTCTTCATAGCTGATCTGTTTTAGTAAAGGCCTGCCAATCAATTTTCTTTTTAGCTGGTCCATCTTTGACTTTGCTATTGTCTTTAATATTTCATTGTAGGTAGCTTTCCTTTTTTTCTTTTAAAATAATATTCCTTGTATTTTATTTTAATTTGTCAATTTATGATTTTATAAGCTTGTAGAATTATGTAAAGTCCTGTATTCATCTTGTGAAAAGTAAGAGTGTCCTTAGAAAAGAAATTGCAGAGTAACTTCCTTCTCTGTCCCTTATTCCCTCAGGTCTGGTATCATTTTCACCCAAAAAGTAAGTCAATTTGATAACTAAAATCCTACACTCTATTTTTCACCCTCAGTCTTGGCATGGGTTATATTTTATATGTATTATTTGTAAACAATGTGTTTCTACACTTAGTTTTTCCCCACTGTCTCTGTTTTGTCATTTGCTGGTATATTTATATTTTCTATTAATATAACTATCTAGGTTTGCCTATTTTAATCGTTCTGTCTTTTTTTTTACATTTAGGTATTTATTCTCTCTGTGTGTATTCTTACATGGGCATATGTGGAGTCAGAAGGCATCTTGTGCAAAGTCAATTCGCTCCTTCTACCAGATAGATTTGGAAGCACTGGTCATCATGATTGACAGCAATCTCACTGGCACAGTTTTCATATTTCTTACTTCATATCTATGTACAGTCTCCATATAATACAAGATCTCACCCTGCATTCATGCCCTTTTTCTCCCCCTAGCCCTTTCTTTTATTAATAACCTGTAAACTTGGATTGTTCTCACAATAGTCAATGGCCATATGTAGTTTTGGAGCAAAGGACTTAAAAATTAAATACAATTTAAAATTTCCATTCTGCAGTTATAGAAACCATAGTTTAATGTGCAGTAGCCATTGGTTCCTAGCTAGTGTGCAGCACAGTGGAGATAGAGAGTGGGTAGACCTCTGACATCATA